GGGCACTTGGCGCCTTAACCAGACCTGTGTCGGAACTTAAAGAAAGTCTGGCGTGGAGCTCTGTGTGAAAGCCCTGCGTTCGATCCCTCATGCCACAGAAAAAGAGGAGGAGGGGGAGGGGGAGGAGGAGGAACAAGGCGGCCATGGAAGAGGACGAGGAGCTGGAGGAGGATGGCTGCATAGCTGACCCGGCCCTCACGGTCAAGGACGCTGCCCCATCGGTCCCTGGGCAGCTGGTTATGGATCTACAGTAAACTGGGCACAGGCCAGGCCTGGCCTCAGGGCGCACACAGGCTGCCACTGCACCAGCCACCTCCCAGCCTCCCTTCCTGAACTGCCGTCGACTCTGGTACCTGGGCTGCCTTGAAGCTGTGGATGAGCCGCAGGAGGCCGGCTGCGGACGAAGGCCGGGTGTCCCTGGGGCCCATACGGGACGCGCCCTTGGGTTCCCGGGGCGCTGGGTCACTTTCTGCTAGAGATAGGCGTTGGCCGGCTGCTGAGCAGGGAGGTCCCTGATTGGCGTCCGTGCTGCGTTCGGGGCCTGTATCCCCGTGCCTGGTCCCCGGGTCATCGCCGAGGTCCTCCAAGCTGTCCACGCAGGGGATGGAGTCGTGCTTGGCGAGGCGGCCCACGCCCCGGGGCCCCGGCGGGCGGTAGAGCTGGGCCAGCTCTTTGCAGAAGCGGTTGAGCGGGAAGCCGACCACGTTGAGGAAGTCGCCGTGCACCGCCTCCACCAGCATGCCGCCCAGCGCCTGGATGCCGTAGCCGCCCGCCTTGTCCCTGGGGTGGACGGACGGGAGGACAGACGGAAGGGCTCAGGGCGGTGAGCAGGGAGAGCGTCCACCGCACCCCGAACCCCGAGCGAGCAGGATCCGGGTCGATGCGCGCACCGCAGTCCCCACCCAGACCACGGACGCACGCTTTTCTTTTTTTTTGACACAGGGTGTTGTATGCAGCCCAGGCTGGCTTTGAACTCGAGATCCTCCTGCCTCAGCCTCCCGGACTGCCGGGGTTGCAGATGGGGAACCCGCACCTCCCATTCACTCCGTGATGTTCTTAGGGGCCTGGCCGACCGGGCTGTGAGCAGCGGCAGCCCGCCCTTGTTCAGGGCTGAGTAGTACTCCTGGCCCCGGGGTGGCGGGCACTCACATCGGTTCTCCGCTGTGGATGTATTCCCACAGCATCTCCTCGGACAGCTCCGAGAACCGCACCCGCGTCTCCTCGTAGAACTCCAAGACGTGCGTTTGCAGCTGACCTTCTGCAAGGACAGAGGTCAGGGTGAAGGCCACGGGCCGCCTCTGCGCCTGGGATCGCACGGCTGCTAGTCTAGGTGTTTTCTGTTTTTTGGGACAGGGGCTGGCTCTGAACTCACTGTGCAGCCCAGGCTGGCCTCGAACTCACAGAAATCCTCCTGCCTCAGCCTCCCGAACGCTGGGGTGCCAGGCATGTGTCACCACGCCTGCCTGTGCGTTACTTTAGACAAAAGAGGTCTGAACAGAAGGGGTCTGAAGGGGGTCCCCCGCCTGCACCTCAGGTTGAAGCAGACGCCCTGAAATCCATGACCAACCAGGACCCATGGATGGCACCCGGTTGGAAATTGGGTTCCTCTTTTCTTTGTGGTACCAGGAATCGAACTCAGGACGTTGCGCTTGCCAGGCAGACGCTGCGCCACTGAGCTATATCCCCGGCCCAGAAACTGGGTTCCTGCGGAGGAGATTAGCAGAGGATCTGGACAGGAGACCCTCCTGCCTCAGCCTCCTGAATCCAACCGCGGCGTCCTTGAGAGAGACACAAGCGGGCCGCAGACACAGGAAGAGCCACATTAAACAGTCGGGAGGCTGAGGCAGGAGGGTCACAGGAAACTCGAGGCCCACCCTGCTACACAGTGAGACCCCGGTCCAATAACCCTGTAATAATCGGAATAATAGATGGAACCCCCTTTCAGAGCCTGGCACGGGAGGCCGTTTGGATGTGCGTGAAGCTCCGCCAGCGCGGAGTCCCTCCCGGCGCCCCGCACGTCGGCCCCGCCTGACGCGTGCGCGCGAGGGCGGAGTCGGGGAGGCCGCGTCACCTCGGCTGCCGCACTGCACGATGCACACGCCCGTGAACACGCTGTGCTCCTTGCCGCTCAACCTGCAACACAAAGCCAGGCCGCTGTCCCGGTCCCCGCCCGAGCCCCCGGGGCTGACCTTGAAGCTGCAACCCTCCTGCCTCGGCCTCCCCGAGTGCGGCGTCACAGGCGTGCGCACCGCCCCCGGCTTTCTCGGGAGTTTCAATGACCCCCAGGGACCCTAAGTACAAGGGGCGCAGAAGCCCGGAGCCGCCGACCTCGCCTCGCCCGCGGGTCCTCCCGTGCGTCCCGGGAGCCGGGCTCCGCGCACCTGGACAGCATGCGGTAGGCGTCCTGCTTGTCCGCGGGCTTCTCCAGAATGAGCCCCTCCAGGGCCTGCGGGACAGGGCGTGGAACCTGAGGACCCTGCGGCGCGACCCCGCGCGAGCCGCGCCTGTGATCCGATCCGCAGAACCGTGCTCCGGAGTTAACCTCAGGCTGCCGTGGCAAAGGGCCACCGCCGGGACTCCGGTTGGACACACACCCGTCCTCCCCGGTCCGGCAGCCGAGCCGGAGCCCAAGGGCCAGGGAGGGCCAGGGAGGGCAGCGCCGGCCCCTGCCCATGCCCCACACAGGCGTCCCTCTCCGCGTTCGTCTGCGTCCTGCTGTCCCCTTCTCGGCAAGGCCGCCCCGGGCCTCAGTACCTCCTCCAGCTCTCTGCGGCCCCATCCCCTCAGAGCTACCTTGGGCCCTGGAAATAACTATGTTCATGCTTTCACAGCAGCTGGGCTGTTCAGGTTTTACTTTTGTTTTTGAGGCAGGGTCTTGCGTGTAGCCCAGGCTGACCTGGAACTCACTACGGAGCCCAGGCTGGACTTGAAGTGAGAGCAATCCTCCTGCCTCAGCCTCCCGAGCGCTGGGATGACAGGCGTGTGCCACCATGCCCGGCAGAAAAACATTTATTACCGACCAGGCCCCAAATCAGGAGGCCACCTCCGGGGAAGACGAGGACCCGGCCCTCGCTGTCACGAGCTCACCCGCCATGATCCCGCCGCAAGCGCCCCGGGCAGGCGGCGCAGGGCACTCACCACTATGGTGTCAGCCCCAATGACCACGTCAGGGGTGCGCAGGTCTTTCTGGAAGAGAAGGACTGCGGAGTCAGCGGGGCCGTGGCGTCGGGCTCCCGGCACCTCTCTGCGCCCCAGAGGACAGCACCAGGGCCCTGTCGGCTTCCCAGAGTCAGCCCCCAGCCTCAGGCCGTGTTCCCAGTCTTCCTCTTAGCTCCGGCTAAGCTGAGTTCGGGCCCCACATCGTTCCTGAATCAAGGCCCAAAGGTCTCTGCTTCCCTCAGTGTGATCTGAGGAAAAGGAGGTGAGCACTACAGAAGCCATCCCAGCACTCGGGAGGCTGAGGCAGGAGCATCTCCCTGAGTCTGAAGCCAGTCTGGGCTACACAGGGAGTTCAAGGCCAGCCTGGACTGTGGAGCGAGGCCCTGCCTCAAAAACCGAAGAAGGAAAGCAAAGCACTCTCATGAACTCATCACGCCGGCGCTGACTGGGGTGCAGAGCAAAGGCACGCGGCGGGATCATACAGCAGCAAGTCAGCGCTGTGAATTCCGCGTCCGGCGTCACACCGGAGTAGTCACCGTGCCGGGCATGGAGCGCTCGGCAACAGGTAGTGAGGTTAGTTCTGCGTCTCACAGGGTCGCACTGTATCGATTATAATAGCTCTGTGTGTATGTGTGTGTGTGTTTTTGAGACAGGGTCTCGCTGTGCAGTTCAGGCTGGCCTTGAGCTCACTTTGTAGCCCAGGCTGGTCTCGAACTGGCAGCGTTCCTCCTGCCTCAGCCTCCCGAGTGCTGGCACTACAAGTCTGAGCCAGCACACGTGGCTCTGTAATTGCATATTACACTGTTCAGTTTTTTGTCTTTTTGAGACAGGGTCTCACTACGCAGTCCAGGCTGGCTCTGAACTCGCTTTGTAGCCCAGGCTGGCCTGGAACTTGCAAGGATCCTCCTGCCTCAGCCTCCCGAGTGCTGGGATGACAGGCATGTCGCACCACGCCCGGCTTTGTAATTGCACAACTGACACCCAAGGTATGTAAATTCCACCTTCTAAGTGACAGTACTAAAAAAGCCACGAATGACCGCACTGTGTATCAGAACTGCGTATTACTTTGCAGCACACACTAATCGCGAAGTGAAATAAATCCGTTTCCGCCCTTTTCAGGGTACTGGGGACTGAACCCTGGGCCTTCACGCTGAGCTGCATCCCCAGCCCTTTTCAGTTTTTATTTGGAGAGGGCCTGGCTAAGCGGCTGAGCTTGCGGTCCTCCCGCCTCAGCCTCCCAAGTGTGCCACGGCCCAGGGCTGTCCACAGCTGCACACCCACTGCGATCGCCTGCGTCCAGCACAAGCGGCACCCACCGCCCCGGGCCCGGGAGCCCGTTACCCGCGGCTGCGTGACGGACCGCGTCCCCCCCGCCCCCGGTACGGGCGGTGCGGGATCCCTGCGGGGCCCGGTGGGTCGGCGGGGACGGGCACTCGCCTGGTGCAGCCTGGCCGCCACCTCCAGCGCCTTCTGCTTGGCAGTCTCCACGGCGTACGCATACGGGCTGCAGAAGGAGGACTTGCGGAGCGTCTCCCTGAACCGGGACGGAACCACCTCGAACCTGAGACCCTGCAACGGAGGAGGACAGCGGGGTGCAGCCCGCAGCACGGCCAGCCGGAGGGCGGGATCTGCGGGACGTGGCCGTGCGGGCCGGCCCCAGCCCCGGGCTCTGTCCGAGACACACAGCCACGCAGCAGAGAGCCACGCACAGCCGGAGGGGCCAGGTGCGGCAAGGCAGCGCATGCAGACTCCCACGGCCCGACGACGGGGCTGCAGGACGCGAGCCGCACGGTGCAGGGCCCGGGGGGCACACACCCGGGTGAGGGCGCAGCTGCACTAACACCGCACTAACCTACGCAGTGCTACTGAGTAGCCGTAGCAACCCACGGGCCGTTCACCCTACGTGCTGCCTGGCGTGGCGGTGGCCCACGCCTGTAACCCCAGCTCTGGGGAGGCTGAGGCAGGAGGACCGCTTTGAGTTGACCACCAGCCTGGGCTACATAGTAAGTTCAAGTCCAGCCTGAACTATGTAGCTCGACCTGTCTCAAAAAGACGAAAACAAAACAAAACAAAACAAAACAAAACAAAGAAAAACAGCAACAAATAAGCCCTATGGGCAAAGGGATAACTATTCTTTGCAACAGAAAGTTACAGGTAAAGCCGGGTGTGTTGGCACACGCCTGTAATCCCAGCACTCGGGAGGCTGAGGCAGAAAGATCTTTGAGAGTTGGAGTTGGAGGCCAGCCTGGGCTACAAAGTGAGCTCAAAGGCAGCTTGAACTGCATAGGGAGTCTATCTCAAAAAGATAAAAAAAGAGAAAGTTACATGTAGCCCCGATGCACTATTGCTATGGTTGATACATAGTGTCGGTTTGAGGCCAGAAGGTTAACTAAGTCACCAGAAGTTCTGCATCCTGGGGAGAAAAGGACCTGACCCTGCTGCTCTGGGAGCTGTTCAGAAGTTTAAAAGGTTAAATGAGTGACTCCGCAGGGAGCCAGGCTGCCTACTTTGTATCACCCTGAGCCCGTGCAGGAGGAGGGCAGGGAGGTGGTGTGGGCGGAGAGCGGACACACGGTATAGGAGGGAAAAGAGGCGAGCTGCCCCGCTTCGCCTTGCGGCTCTTGCGGTCTTGTGCCGCCTTGAACAGCTGCCCCTGTGCCCGGCCACCCTGCCCTGCAGCCACGGAGTATGGACTGAAACCTCCACAAACTGTGAGCTCAGTACACCTTTCCTTCCTTAATTCCGGGCGCTGGGTACTTTGTCTCAGCCAGGAGAGAAAAGGAACCAAGACAATACAGTAACGGTAGTGACCAGGTCACTAATGTGCTGCCCTAAAAAGGTGCCACCGTACAAAATGCAGGCGGAGAACTGAGTGCGTTCTGTCCACACGCCAGCTCCCTACGAAGAATACACCACCACGCATGGCCCACGGGCACTCACAAAAGTACAAAATCTGAAAAAACACACACTAAAAGGCAAGCTACGTTAACTTTATATGTGTACATATATATATATATATATATATTATTTTTTTGTCTTTTTGAGACAGGGTCTCGCTATGCATTTCAGGCTCAACTTGAGCTCACTTTGTAGCCCAGGCTGGCCTCGAACTCACGAGATCCTCCTGCCTCAGCCTCCCGAGTGCTGGGATTACAGGCGTGCACCACCATGCCCGGCCCTGACTATTAATTTTATATTCTAAGTGACAGAACAATATTAATTGAATTGTGCGCTACTCAGGAGTTAATACAGCAAGTGCACATTAATTGTACACCTGAAATGATCATACTATATTGAGTATAATAGTACATTATTTAGTAGCACGTAATAACAGATATTAATTTTCTATTCTAGGCAACACTGCTACATTAATTTTAATCATGTATCTCTCGGTAGCACACAGCAATAGATAAACTTATTAATTCTGTATCCTAAATGATTACACTATTTTAACCACAATAATATATTATTTAGTAGCATATAATGACAGATACTGACTTTTTCTGCTTGTTTGTTTCAGGCTAGGTCTCACTATGTAGTTTATTTTTTATTTATTTAGTTTTGCTTTTTTCCAGTACCAGGAATCAAACTCAAGACCTTGCGCTTGCCAGGCAACTGCTCTGCCGCTGAGCTAAATCCCCAGCCCCAATGCTATGTAGTTTAGACTGGCCTTGAACTTACTATGTAGCCCAGGCTGGCCTCAAACTTGTGGAGATCCTCCTGCCTCAGCCTCCCGAGTGCTGGGATTACACGTGCACGCCAGGATGCTCGGCTAGATATTGACTTTATATCCTAAGTGACAGCGCTGTTTTTGTTTGTTTTGCTTTAGTTTTTTGAGACAGGTCTTGCTACATAGTTCTGGCTGGCCTTGAACTCACTAGGTAGCCCTGGCTGGCCTTGAACTCACAGTGATCCTCCTGCCTCAGCCTCCCGAGGGCTGGGCTGACAGACATGCACCACCATACCGGGTGTGACAGTGCTATATTAACTGTGATAGTATATTCCTTGGTAGCACATAGCAACTGATAAACCACATTAATTCTACGTTAGATGATCACAGCACGTTAATTAGTATCGTTCACTATTTAGCAGCTCATAGGAGCACATAAGCTACGTTAATTGTACTGATAATCGAGGCAGGGCCGTGCTGGCTACAACTATATCACTGTATTCTGCACAGCACACGCCACGGGGCTGACTAACCCTTGCTGCACCGTGACGGGGGCCAGGCCAGTGACATGGACTGTGCGTGCTCAGGCCCGGCCCCGGGAACCCACCGCGGGGCAACGGCAGCAGCACACACAGGCTGCCAGGCCACCCGCACTCCGTGCCCTGGGAGCCCGGCAGGCCAGGATCGATGGGGCCGTGGTCAACGACCCCAGGCGCCCGGCCCGTGACCCTCGGGGGAAGGCCGGGAAGAGGGGCCGGGGACCGGCTCAGCAGTGGTTTCCGGGCGCCGGGTACCCAGGGTCAGGCCGTGCTCCTCCTACTGTCCCCACCCTGGCACCACGGTCCCCGTTATTTGTGA